CAAAATAAATTCTGACTTGATTAAAGTACTCAGTATAAAAGTAATTAAACTGGAACAGAACTGTCCTGATGGGAAAGACCTTTTCAAACATAAACCAAATTTATAAGGAAAATTGTAGTTATGACTACATAAAAATTTATGAACTGCATGTCAAAAATATTTCTTTTCTATAATTGAGTTCACCTCAACACACAAGCCTCCATTTTTGCTCAGAGCAGGAAAGCCCAAACTTGGCAGTAGCTTATGGTTTTAAGCATATTCATTGCTGAACCTAAGCCTGATCCAGTACAGACTGGCCCTGCCCTTTTCCCTTCTCTCCAGAAGTGGTTTAAGTTTCTCAGGGAAAAGAGGAGGAAAGGAAACTGAGGTGTCTTCCTGGCTGAAGGAGGGCTATCTGGTCCTCAGAGCTGGGCTTCCATCCTCCCTAACTCCCCTTGGGGACAGCTGATTGCCTGGAGCTAGTCTTTGGCAGTCCCGCCGCAGCACGTGACTTTGGTACCCCAGCATGCGCGAGCTCACAAGCTTGTGTGTCCTGCGTTGTGCTTTTGTTCCAGTGTCCTGGACATTGCCTGGGTCGTGCGGTGAGGACGCAGCAGCAACATCTAGTCTGTCAACACCACAACAGTTCTGACTCCGGCTGTGATGACAGAAGGAGGTAGGGGCCCCGCCCTAGGGCAGCACACCACCTCTCCTGCCTCAGTCAGTGACTATGACCACCTGAAAAGCAAGTCATCTCTCCTGTATTATAACTGCCTCTCACAATGGACAATTTCTCCTAAACTATGATTTCTTGCAGTACCATCCTCAATAACCTGTATTATACTGAAATGTTAATTAATATGTGCTATTTATAATCACAAATTACTTGGATGTTAAAAATACAGGAACACCCCAAAGAGGGAAAAAAGTAGCATTGAGAATAGACAGATATTTTTCCTCCTATGTATACAAAGCTGGTGAAGCCTACTAATATTGCATTTAGGTTTACAGGTGAAATCTTCCTAGTGTTTTCAATGAACTACTTTATTCCTCTAGTTAGAAACTGTTTGATTAAGACATGGACTTAGTGGGTTAGCAGAGAATAAAACAAACTTTCATCTTGTTAAGGGGATTAAACAAGAAAAAATGTTCTTGCTCTTCTCTTATCTAAAAGTCTGAGCTGGTAGATGGTTTAGGAGTAGGAGAGCTTTGTTCCATGAGGTCACCCAGAGACACCCAGACTCCTTCCATGTGGCAACTCCCCATCCCAGAGGGCGTGCCCCAGCCAGAGAGACAGAGGAGAGAGCAGGGAAGGCACGCTAAAGGGGACATTTGGAGATCCAACACTCTCTTTTTGTGTCACCTTGGACTACCTAACCTCCTGATCTGCAAAATGAGGTCTTATTGTTCATGAGATGTTACGGCTGGGAAGTTTTGGTTAGTTGGCTGAGTGGGAAGCATGCCAGCAGCCTGGGTCATGGAAGATGCTCAGCGCGTGGCGCCTCCTTTCTCCTCCACGCCCTGAGTCTTGCTGGAGAAAAGGAGATGACCTTGACAATTGGCTGAGTTTCCATTTTGAGCCTTCAGTAAGGTTTGGCAATGTGGTGTCAGCTGCATTTCCTATTCCCCACAACACAATTCAAGCCAGAACCACTCTCCTCAAATGGAAAATGTTTGGAACAGCTGCCCTTATTCTCAGCAGACAACCTAGTTTTCAGTTTTGCTCAGAAGACAGAGACCACACACAGATTGATATGCATCACCCCAGTTGTTTTGCTTTGCCCCCTCAAAGATGCATTTACAATACAAACACGTACGTGGATTCAGCTTTCTTTATAACATTCCAGACACATTTTTCTGAAAATTGCTTTTTCTACTTATCAATACATTATAGCCTTTTTTTCCCCCATCTGAGTACATAAGAGTCACCATTTTGTTTTGAATTATTATATGTAATATTACCTCATTCCACTGCTGATGGACATTTGACTGTTTCCAGTTTTTGCTATTATAAACAAATGCTGCAGTAAACATCCTGGAACATAGATCTTTATGTACAAAGGGTAATATTCTTACAGATTTTAGATATGGAACTGGATTAACAGTCATGCTCATTTGGGTACTACTAAAATTGCCATCAGAATGTCTATACCAACAGTATATATTTTCATCAACATTATATAGATTTTCAGTCTTTTGAAACTTTTGCCTATCTGATGAATGAAAAATTATAAATTCTTCTAATTTGTACTTTTCTGGTTACTTTTTATGATGGCTCTTTGTATTTTTTCTCAAACCTATTCACTTTTTTTCCATCTTTGCCACCATCATCCTTGGCCAAGCCATCCAAATGGTCTCTCTTCATCCATCCATGCTCCTTTCCAATCCAGTCTCCATACTACAACCAGAGTAATCTTTCCCAAAATGCAAATCTGACCATACCACCACCACACCCCATCTCCCTGCTAGATTAACATCACTTCAGAGGCTCCACTTGCTCTTAGGAAAAAAGTTGACCAAAATCCACAATGCGGCCTATAAATTATCACATAGCCAAGTCCTATGTCCCATCACAGCCTCATCCAAGACCTCACTCTCTCACTCTTTGTGTTCCAGCCACACTGTCTTAATTCAGTTTCTTGTGTCTGCCATGCACTTTCCCACCAACAGCAGCAAAAACAAGAAGCAGAAAATAGAGTAACAGATGTTGGGGGGTTCCATATCTGAAGTGGGGTTTTAGAGAAAGACATGGAAATGAACTGAAAAGCGAGACATTTTTAAAAGAAATCGTAGAAGAAAAATTCCCAGACCTGAAAGGGAAAAGAGCCAAGCTGCGTTTCATTTTCTCTATTGTTTCTGCTTCCTGCAGGACTGGCTATTCAGCTATTACCCTGGTGCTTTTCTTTCATGCTATTTGTTTTCCCCAGATAACTGTTGGTTTATAGATAAAGGATGAGTTTAGTTTAGAGAGCTCCTGTGGGTTGCTTTTGCAGTTTTCTAGCCTCCTTTTCCCCCACAGACCTCTTCCACTGACTGAGCTTGCTTACTGTGGGTTCACTGAAGGTAGATAAGGTGTTAGATCTCCCTTTAAGGAGAGATGGAGCATGGAAGGGGAGCAGTGGCCCAGCTGGAGGCCCCCAGTTGCCATAATATGGCCTCAGTAAATGTAAACACCTCAGGGTGTTTTATAGGGAGTGATGTTATTAGAGGCCTTGAGCAGAGGATTAGTGGTGAGCCAGCTGTCTGCTAGCCTCTTCCATAGGCCCTGGGAAGGGTTTGGGAGGTGTGGCTTCCATTGAAAAGAGTTACAGAGGGAGTGAGAATTATCAAGGAAGAGTTAGCACATTGCCCATTGTGGTAAGAGGACAACATGAGGACCTGGGGAAATGCTTGAGGACCCAGAGGGTTTGTTCCTCAAAGTGGTGATTCCTCACCTTAGCCAAGAGTCAAAATTACCTGGGAGGTTTCTTAAATAGAGATTCTTGGGCCTCAATTCAGAGTTCATGAATCAGAATCTTTGGGAGGGAGTGGAGCCTGGCAATCTACATCTCTTTAAAGCTGCCCACGTACTTCTGAGAATAAGCCAGCCCTGGCATCTACGGCCCAGAGTCAGTAGTTCCATCTGGCTGATGATGAAAGGGGTTATTTGCGGTAGAAGCAGAGCTGGACTGAATAGGAATGAGAAACTGACAAAGACTAGTAGAAACAGGATTACCTTATGATTTCTGCTGCCATTTCTACTTTCACGTGTTATGTAGAAAAGCACACAAACTCCATTAGTGTGCACAGTGTCGGTGCCCAGACTGGGTCCCCCTAGCTCAGGCATCCCAAACCCCAGTCCCACCCCATCCCTGGCCAGAAGGAAGCGATGCTTTCTGCTGGGCAGACTTGCATGGTTTCATTGCGTCCTTGATGACTAACCTCTTGGGCTTCAGCATATGTGTTTTTCTCTAGCTTCCTGGGCCCCTCTCATCTTTTATATTTAGGAAGCTAAATAGTTCCTTCAGGCTTCCCACTGGCCCTACCTTCTATCAAAACAGAAAAAGTGGCCGTATTAGTTAAGGTCCTTTGGGCTGGAAACAGCAAAAGTCAACTTAGAATGGTTCATACAAAGAGAGTAGGAGACTTCGTATTAGGACAGGACCGCCACTCTTGCATTCAGCAGTTTGGTGTCTTTTAAAATGTATTCTTTGAATATTTGTTCAGCTTTTTCCAGTCGAAAAGCTGATCTTTGCATAGGGGGACGGCTAAGGAGTACTCTGTCTCTGCCCAGCTGTCCAAAGAAACTCAGCTTTTGGCCTCTAAGATTCATACCCAATGGGGAGAACAAAAACCCTGCAGTTAACAGGAAAACTTCATCCCTCCTCTTCTGATAAATCTTATAAACAGTTTGGTGTGACAGTGTTGTTTAAGTAAACCCTTTGATGGAGTCTCCCCCTACTGGCTAATCAAAGTGTTGCTTCTTACTATGTGTAATACTAGAGAAGTTCAGGTGATCACAATTTTCTCCATCTTATGACATTTCCAGTGGTGTTTCAACACTTCTTACAGATTATGTGCCCCAATAAGGAACCTTTTATAGATATACCAAAGTGTCTCAAGAATCCAAATGGAGACTGCCATGAGACCTCAGGAAGGACTGTTACCAAGGGATGGAAAGTCATTGGGGGTGATTCCTTCTCTCATCTCTGAAGCGCTGTGTGTTTCTGCTTCATTCTTTGTTCTTTCCGAGGTTTTTCTCCTACTTCTGTGGACTGTGTGGCAGAGTGTAACCTATAAAAGTATTGAATCACTGCGCTGTACACCAGAAACTAATACAATATTGTAGGTGAATGAAAAAAAAATTAAGTACCTGCTGTACAAGGTGGTTGTGAGGATTAAATGAGTCAATCTATGTAAAGTATTTGGAGAGTCCTCTGGAGCATGGCTGTCCAAAAAATATAAATATACAGCGGATCCTTTCCGACAACAACAGCAACAGAATCAGAGGGCATTAACTTTCTACTCTATTTTAAAGGGTAAGGAAACTAGAGGTAGATCCCTCTTCCCAAAAGGTCTTTGTTAGTTCCCACGATGAGTTGTGCTGTGACCTAAATGTAAACCAGGAGCACTTCTCTTAGCAGAGAAGGTTGCTCACACGCCACTTCGTACTCACACCAGAATGTATTTCCAGCGCTGATATAAACAGAACTTCAAGTCTGTTAACAGATGTGTCATTCTTCTCTTCTTTGCCTAAACTGATCTGCTCCAGCTTTATCAGGACAGTGCATCTTTTGAGGTGTGCCCCTTGACTGGGTGTGGGAGGCTAATGGAAACACGTGGTTTGCTTCCTCTGTTAAGATCACGACTCCTCCCCCACTTTGCTTAGTCAGCTGGGAGCAATGCAGACCAGTTTCCTGTTGCTTAGGGTCCTAGTTGTCAAACCTTTAATACATCGAAAATGTACTATGGTTAAAGACTTGATCCCAGCAAGAGGTGACACCCCACTTCTCCATTTTCCTTTCTTTTGTTTGTTTGTTTCATTTCAGAGCCACCTGGAGGAGGAACTGCTCATCAGGGGCTTGTGACACGTGCTGGCGCCCCGGCCCTTGGAGGCCCTGTACGGCGGCCTGCGGCAGGGGCTTCCAGTCTCGGAAAGTCGACTGTGTCCACACAAGGAGCTGCAAACCAGTGGCTGAGAGACGCTGTGTGCAGAAAAAGAAACCCGCATCCTGGCGGCACTGCCTGGGGCCTTCCTGTGACAGTACGTACCCCGCTCAGGTATCACGACTGCCCCCGAAGCCTTGTCCAAACCAGACCACCTGGTGCCTTTTGCCAGGGTCACGTCCACAGGGGCTATTCTGAATGGATGTGGTATCTTGGGACATGGGGAGATTAGTGGCTTTGATGTGGGTGTAACTGGGTGTTCTTTAGAGAAAAAAAGAGTTGAGTGAGTAGGGTGGTCAGTGGCCTTCTAATGAGCACTGGTAGCCTCTGCACAAACTCCCCTTTGCCTGAAATCTCACCCCCTAAGACAGGGACTCATCCCCTAAGACTCCCCATAAGATGGGACTGGCAGGTATGCAAATATCCTGAAGTTGTACGTAAAATGTAATCTTGTATGTATTTTTCCAAGGAGTGGGTCCATAGCTTTGATAAGTTTTCCTGGGGGTCCATGACCCTCCAAAAGCTAAGCAGTGCTGCGGTGAGCACTGGGGCGGCCCGGTGGCCTGACGGTCTGGGAGGTCCCTGGAGGCCCAGCCACGAAGCGAGTCCAGTGCATCTCTGACTCCGCTGCAGAGCAGTGGCTCTAACCCAAGCCTAGTTTTTTCACTTCACTCTGTGATCTTAGTTTCTGCTTTTCATAAATCAAATGCTTTTTTTTTAAACTAGGTTTCTAATGAGCTACGTGTTAAATGGAAATACATTTTTTTCTTTACAGGAGACTGCACAGACACAACTCACTACTGCACGTTTGTAAAGCATCTTAATTTGTGTTCGCTAGACCTCTACCAACAGAGGTGCTGCCGGTCGTGTCAAGAAGGCTAAAACTTTTGGGGGAGGGTGGTCAGAATGCTGCTGTGAAGATAAAACAAAAATGTAAAAGCTCTTTTCCCCTTGTAGCTGGTTCAAAACATGTATTTCTTAAAACAAACAAACAACACTCTAGATTCTACCAACAGAGGTCGATGCAAAATCACCACCGTTAAAATTTGTTACTGTCATTTCCCTGTGGTTGGGTTTTAACTCTAACTCTTTTAAATTGTATATTCCAGGACTAACATCAAACCCCCTGGCAGGCAGGCCATTGCACTTGGGACCTCGTCCTGTCCTAATCAGGAAAGCACCGAGGTCACCTGCGCATTGTCGCGAGCTGCCTCTTCCTGTGATTTGCAGACGAGTGTAGAGTGGAGCATCGTGAGGGCTTGGGAAGCACAGCAACTGATGACGTCTCTCAGTTTTAGGGTTTCAGCAGGTTTATAAGGCATTTACGTTCTAGAAGCTCTGGCCAGTAGTTGTTAAGTCGTTGGCGCTAATGGCATTTTTATGGATCCTTGAGTTTAGTCTGTGAAAAAGAGACAGTTGCTCTGGACAGGCTCATGACCCTGACTTTTCCAGGGATCGTGGTGGGTGGGGTTGGGGGTGGGATGGCATCTTGTCCTCGCTCTTCGAGAACCCGTGGAAGAAAACACAGAGCAAATGTTGCTGCCATTTTCACAACTACGGAAATCTATCTGTGACCAAATGAGGCATCCTGGAAATCAGAGAGGGAAAGCTAACCTCTTCTACTGATGGTGAAGATTCAAAGCTTTCTTTTTGAAGAGCTGTGAATGAAACTTTTTCTAAGCACTATTCTCTTGCACACAAACAGAAAACCAAAGCCTTATTAGATCTAATTTATGCATAAAATAGTATTTCTAAGGATTTTTATTTTGGAAAAATTATAAGAAAGTAATCTGAATTTGAAACGCGATCATTGAAAGCAGTTGCTGATGGTAAGTAATTGTTTTAATTTGAACTGACTTCTCAGTAAATCCAAAGCAAATTAGGGTTAGGTTGGCAGGTGCAGTGAGGATGAGGGGTTAAAGCTAGGATCTGGTGAACAGGGTTAGGGTTAGTTTGGTTTTAGGATTGGGTTACGTGAGAAAGGAAGTCAAGTTAGGGCTAGGGCTAGGGTTGGCTTCAGGGATTCGAGTTAGGGCCAGGTTAGGTCAGAGCTGGTTTGGGTTTAGATTGGGCCGATGCTGGTGTTAGCGATGACATGTCAGGGTGGAGGTTAGGTTTCAAGTAAATGTTGCTGCTGAAGGATTTGGGGACGAGAACTAAATTGTAAACCCTAAAGCTGATTTCATTAGGGGGCTTTTTCCTTACATGCTACCAGTTACGGCTTTAGATGCCACACAACGCCAAGTAAGCGGTCATACTTCTTTATTCCGTGTCGCACTTGCCTGTTCGCACGCCATCTACAGCAAAGTTCCCTGAAGCGAAGTGCTGGACTTAGTCCCCGGCCACTTGTAAGTGGACAGTGCGTTCCGGCTTTGGCTTTGTCTACGGACAAGCGTGCTGAGTCTCTCTGCCCTGTCCCGAGCGTCAGGCCTCTTGTTCTAACTTCAGCCTCACCAACACTGGGATGAGCACTACTGTACGCGGAGGGCTTGGTGGTTGGGAATGGATGCGGGAACGTGAGTTGTTAATCATCAATCACACTTGATTGTTGAAGGTTTTTAAATTAAAAGAGAGATCATTTGTAAAATACTCTTTGTATATATTTATTATATGACTTAAAGGTGCAATATTTTATTTTGTACAGAATGTAATAAAGACATGGGACATATATTTTTCTTATTAACAAAATTTCTTATTAAATTGCTTCACCTTTGTATTTAAAGTTGCTGTTTTTCATTTGCTATTGTACTTTTTGTTATCATTCAGATGGCATTCCTGTGTACTGTAGTTTACTACTGTTTCTATCACATAAGAGTTCATATTTCTCTTTCATGATCCTTAAGTAATTCAGAAATAAATGTACTTTGATTATTCAGTGGCATCCTTATAAATAGAGGTGACTTATTTGCATTCTGTTCTTGGTAGCCTTGGGTGTTGTTACCTTGGCTGCCTCCTTGTGAGTCCAGGAGCAACCTTCCTGGGCTCAGGGCCTTGGACTGCCCTTTGGAGAGTGCTTACAGGATTCAGAGCAGATCACACAGAGATTCACTCTGACACCCCCATCCCAGTCACTGACTTCCTGTGAATCACAGTCAAAAGAATGTCAAGGGCAGAAGGGGTGGAAGGGAGTCTCAAATGGACAGCTGGAAACAGGTATGGAGGTAGGTGTGGTTGGGAGAATGGAGCTGGAGGAACTAACACTTTTTATTTTTGGCCACCGTGAGGAGTTCACGGACTGACTTGAGATGTCTGCACCCAGAGGCTTTTTAGCAGCACTTGGTGAGTGACCCCTTCAATTCCTTCCAACTCATGCAGTTGACGGATTTGAACTGCTTAGGTCCTCTTGTACGTGGATTTCTTTGAGTAGTAAATACAACACCATCTGAGGTTGGTTGAATATGTGGACGCAGAACTGCAGATACGGAGGAGCGGAGTATGAGGAGGGCCAACTGTAAGCCATAACGCAGGTGCCGGGAAGGTTGGCACCCCTGACCCCCACGTTGTTCAAGGGTCAGTTGTATAGGGCTTTAAGACTGACAGTGAGTCTTTATAGAAAATGTTCGTGTGATTGGAATTGAGATGTCCCTTCATTTGCCATGGGCTTTGGAGTTTCCAAAGTCACTTGGTGAAGATGAAAATTAACCATTTGACAGTAACTTGTGAGACTATGTTAACCTCATGAGGCTGAGCCAAAGCAATGGGACACCGCAAACATTTCAACAGTGTACTTCCTTCTTCCTTTTTCATTCTTTCCTTCCTTCTTTCATCTTTCCTTTCCTCCTTTTCATCTTTCCTTTCCTCTTTTCTTCCTTCTCTCCTCTCTTTCCCTCTTCCTCACTCCTCTTTCTTTTTCTTTCTTTCTTTCTTTCTCTCTTTCTCTCTCTCTCTCTTCCTTTCTTTCTCTCTCTCTTCCTTCCTTCCTTGTTTCCTTTCTTTCTCCCTTTTCTTTTTTTCTCTCTTCCCTTTCTTTCTGTCCTTCTCTAAGGCCTACATAAGTTACAAGGAGTAGAGAACATTAACAGGAGAGGGAGGAAAAGTTACAACTTTATTTCCAACTCAGAGGAATTTTTCTAGGAAACTCCTTCTATTTTTTTTTTTTTGGCAGTTTGAAATATTTTTTAAATCTTTAGTAACTATGCAAGGACACAGAAAAATTCAGAGTTCACAGTAAAAGTGCTGATGGGTTCTCTCTTATGTACAGTGTGACGAATTCCCAAATGTTCTGTCTTTTACATACTGGCATTCGGGAATTTCATCATTTTTCCACTATTGCCCTGTTTTTTTTTCTGCTCGGGTTCTGTCTCGGATCCCACGTTGCATTTGGTTGCTTGGCCTCTTCAGTCTCCTCTAGTCTGTGACGCCTCCTCAGGCTCTTCTTGTCCATCATGATCTTGACACTTTTGAGCATGATGCTGGCTGGGGATTTCACAGAATGCCCCTCAGTTCGGGGTTATCCAGTGTGTGGAGTGAGGTTATGCGTTATTGCCCGTCTCGGTGTGTGGTATCGGGGGGGATGGTGTGTCAACATGACCTGTGACTGGTGATGTTTACCTCGACCTTCCGGTGGTTTCTGCCAAGTTTCTTCTCTACAGAGGAAACTATAAACTAAACTCTCCTCAGTAGAATAAACTACTATTTTTCTCTTTGTAATTAATAAATAGTTATTTTAGAGGCAATACTTTGAGAATATGCAGATATACTGCTTCTCTTTAAAGTATCGTCCCTTAATTTCAGTATCCACTATGGATTGTGCCTACAACATGAAGATGTTCTAATTGTGACCTTCTGTTTTCTTCATTCCTTTTAGTTTTACTAATTGGAATCCTTTGGAAAAGAAGTGTTGTTCCTTATTCCCATTTATTCTCTGATTTATTTATATCCATATAGACACACGTGTATATGCAAATGTTTTAATACACATACATAAATATACGCATATATTTATACATACAAATTTTCTATGATATATTTTATATATTTAATAGTATATTATATTAGATGTTATAAATTATATATATTTTAATATATACAAATGTATATACATATATATATATGTATATTTGGGGGTTGAAATCCAACACTCCTTATTTTATTGCTCAAACTATCTGGCTTTGGCCATTGGGAGGATTAAAAAGTTGACCACATATACACTAACCCATGAATGCACACACACGCACACACACACACACACACGCACACACACAGCTATTTTTACTTTCTGCATCTGTGAATTCATACTGAAACCTTGGATGCCAGTCCAGCACCGTGGGGTCATTATTATAGTCTAATCTTTTTCTCGTTTGCAAACTTCTTTCTCTGACAGGAAGGAGCCCGGCTCTCGTTATCCACCATGTATTTTCTTGGTGTGACCTTAGTATACACATAAAGTAGCCTCAGAATTGCTAACGCTTGCCCCTGTGAAAGGGGAAAAAATGACCAGCTAGAGGACAGTGTGTGTATACTGTTCTTCTGTCTTTTGCCTACAGTGTCCAGCCACAGCACTGTCCCAGGCATACTCGGGCCATCCCGTCTTCCCTCCTCCTGCAGTGTGGTTATGTGATTCCTTCGTAGCACAGTTATGCTCATTTGTCACAGACTGCATTCTTCTTGGGCTCCCCCCACAGCCTGGGTGACGGTTTTTGTAATTTTACGTGCAGTTACATTGAATCTGTGGTTTCCAGTTCTAATGGTTTTGACAAATTCAGGGGTGTTTGTCTACCACCACAATTTCTTACCTGACAGTTCCATCACCCTCCACATCCACGTATCCTGCTTCTTTGTGGTCAGTTGTTCCCCCTCTCCTGTCCCCCTAGCATATACTGATTTATTTTCTGTCCCTATAATTTTACCTTTTCTAGAATTTCGTGTAAGTAGGATCATACAATATGTGGCCTTTAAGGTCTAGCTTCTTTCACTTGCTGAAACACATTTAAGATTCATGCATGATTTGGGATGAATCAATCATTTATTTCTTAAATTGGCTTTGTATGGCTGTACTATAGATGTTCATCATTTTTTCAGTTAAAAGACATCTAGGTTGTTTCTAGTTTGGGCTGATTATTAATAAAATTCTGTAAATACTCACCTTTAGGCTTTTGTGTAAAACTAAGTTTTCATTTCTCTTTGATAAATACCTAGGAGTAGATTTGCTGGGTCATAAGATATGTGGATATTTACAAGGAACGGTCAAACTGTTTTCCAAAGTGGCTGTACCATTTTATGTACCAACAATATCTGAGTGTTCCAGTTGCTCCAAATCCTTGTCAGTTGGTATTTTCAGGATGTGTGTGTGTGTGTGTGTGTGTGTGTGTGTGTGTGTAGGTGTAGGTGTGGGTGTCGGTGTGTGTTGTGGAGCTATTCTAATAAGTGTGCAGTGGTATCCCATTATAGTTTGAACTTCCCTATTGATTAATGATGTTGAGTATCTTTTCATATGCTTATTTGTCATTTTAATGGGTTGAATTGTGTCCCCTTATCAAAAAAAAAAATCTAACCCCCAGAATGTGACCTTATTTGGAAATAGAGTCTTTGTAGATGATGAAGTTAAGATGAGATCATTAGGGTGAGTGACATTGGTGAAAGTCCTATGTCTGTGAACCTCAGTATGACTGGTATTCTTTTTTCAAAAAGGGGGAGTTGGACACAGGTGCATGCACATAGGGAGAAGATGAAGGCGGAGACCTGCAAGTCACGAAACACCGAAGATGGCCAGCAAAATCCCAGAAGCCAGGGGAGAGGAACGGAACAGATGGTCTCTCGCCACTCTCGGAAGGAACCAACTCTGCCAACACCTGGGTCCCAGACTTCTAGGCTGTGAGACGGTAAATGTGTTAAGCCACCCAGTTTGTGGTCCTTTGTTGCAGCAACTTTATACACTAACTCACCAATTGTGTATAGCCCTTGGTGAAGTATCTGTTTAGATCTTTTACCCATTTTTTTCCTCCTATTGTCAAATTTTAAAGGTTCTTTATATATTCTGGATACACATCCTTTGAAGTCTGTTTTACAGATGAAGAAGCAGGGCTCAGACAAGGAAAGTGACCTGGACTCGGTCACATATATTAGCCTGTCTGTGGAAGAAGATAGCCTTGCCCCTGCTCTCCCGGACTCCCATCTTCAGATGCCTGCTGGCAGGCAGCATCTCCCAGCCACATTTCCTTGTTAGCCATTATAGTTCCGTACTGTCTGCAAATAAAGAAGTGTTAATGGGGATATTGGGGGTGATGGTGAGGTAGCCCTGGACACCCTAGAGAGCAGCTATCAAATGTGTGCTGTGTTCAGGGGTAGGTTGGGGAGGGGTGACATTGGTGAAAGTCCTATGCCTGTGACCTAGGGTAACAATCTGCACATCCACGTGGAACAGCATTGAGTGGAGACAGAAGAAACGGTAGCAAAATGAAAGTTCCCTGATGTTTTGTTGGACACTGTGATCCTTTCAAAAGTATATTAACAGCACTCTTTTTAAACAGCCTTTTTGCAGTTTGCTAACGTGGTTACAAGGTTCACCTCCTCCTCCTCCTCTGATGAATGTGCAGAGGTCTCCTCTCCCCTTGGTATTAGCAGGTCCCCCTATCACACAGCGATCCTCAGAGAGGGCCACAGTTTTGTATAGAAGGAAGCCTGTAAATCTGATGTATTTAGGTGCTGGGGTATGGGATTCCCAGCCTCTGACTGGTGCACACTCCCCTCCTTTCTTCCTGCTGTGAAGTCTTTGTTTTTAATAGTCTTTATTTTTCAGAGCAGTTTTAGGTTCACGACAAAATTGAGTGGAAAAGTACAGAGGGTTACCCTACATCTCCTGCCCCCACACATGCACAGCCTCCCGACTGTTAACAGCCTGAACCAGAGGGTATATGTGTTACAATGGGGGACTGGACAGTGACATGT